AGCAAAAGTGCAAAAAAGTGGAATACAAAGTATACATAATGCAAAAAGCAAAGGCTTAGCAAAACGGGTTTAAGTATCCGTACCAATCCAACCAAACCAACGAAAAGCTTCGGGCCGAAAACAACGCGAACAAGCAAAATCCAAGCAACCAAAACTATTTCGGAAAGTATAAGGAATAAGTGGAAAGCTTTTTTTAACTTTGGACTTAACACCTTTACATTAAACCAAAAATTAAAAAATCCACCCGATACGAAGGCATGGAAAGGATTATAGCAAGCAATAAAAACTTTAATAGTTACGATTAACTTTATAAAACGCTACTTATGCATACAAATACGTTCGGGAAATTACAAGCTTAAAGCTATAATTAATAACAAAGCCCAAAGCAGCTACATATCGCTATAAGCAATGCAGCGATATAATATTCCTGTACGCAAAAAGGACAAGCAATACGCTTTAAGCATTATCGAACGGGAACCCGTTACTTACAACAACGGATGGATCGATATTAAAACCGATTATTTTAATTGCTAATATTATAAACGAACCTTTCCGGTTAAATTTAACGTATTACCAATAAAAAAAACCTAATTTTCGAAAACTTTTGGTTAAAAAAATAAAATCCAAAAATAAATTGGGTTACAAATTAAATTTAGTAATAATAAACCCGAAAAATACCACTTTTTGGGTATGCCATACATATTTGTTCGCTTTTTGTAGCTTTTGCAATACTTAATGCATATATTGCTTGTGCTTTTTTAGCGTATTCGAAAAGATTAAAATATTATTAAAATAAGCTAAAACGAAAATGTCGAAGTGCTTTTTAAGCACGTGGTTAATTATTCGCTAAAAAGTTGTTAGTGCGTTGGTAAAATTAAAGGTTATTATTAAAAATTTATATATTCCAAGCTTGGTTCGAAAGGTTGTTATCCATTTTTGTCCTTCCTTAATCCGTAGTAAACCGTAAACTGCTCGGAGGTTTAAAGTTGTAAAGTACTGGGCTTTGCTAAATTTGTTGCGTAATTTGTTAATAAAAAGCAAAGGATACTTATCCTTTATTGTAGCTTTGTTTAAAGGTTTGTAATCGATATATATCCTTTTTTTGCCGTTTTTTTTTGGAACGAATAAAATTCCGTATTTTATAAAGGAATTGAAAAGCCGTACTATGCTTTTTTTTAAATTATTTTAAAGCTGTCGCTTTAGCTTTTTTTGTTGCTTTGGGTTTAACTGGTACAATTTTTGGTATTTTAGCTTTGTTCCAAGCTTAAATTTAATTTTGTAATTAAAGGGTTTGTATTTTGGAAAACCGGTTTTTAAGTTTTCCTAAAACAGCTTTTAGTACCGGTAATACTTTAAAAGTACTTTGGTTAATTGTTATAGCGTTTTTTTTGGGTACACCGCGGAATTGCGTCGTATTTTTTTTGGGTAAATGCCGAAAGTTATTGCTTTGCTTCATTTCCGTCGAAACACCTTTTTTTAGCTTTATTTTTTTATTGCGTGCAATTCGTAGCTATTAGGCTTCGCTAAAAGTTAATGGAAATTTTTACTTATAAAATAGAGAAGTCGCTGCTAGGGCCGTTAAATTCGGCACTATTCTCGGCGGCAAGTGCAGTTAAAGGCGCTTTAACCAAGGAGGTACCCCGCCAGGTATTCGGTAATTCCGCGCACCAAGCGCTTTAATAAAACCATTGCGCTAGCCCAGTTAAATACCACTCCTAACGCACGCTGGTCCCAATTAAAAGCCGCTTTTTATAAACCGGGAACTCGCTTTTGCGGCTTTAACATAACCAACATTCGTTAAAAGCTATTTCCAATTTTTTAAACAACCATAATTATAGCTACCGTTCGCTATAAATAGCGGCAACGCCTTTATCGGCCTTTACCGGCTTTCGTTGGTTTATTATGCTTTATCCGTTAAAAAGCCGCTTATATAACCGCCGTCCCCTTTTTTGCAACCAAACCGCAAACGCAATAACGGAACCGTTTTTATGCCGCGCTTTGCGACCGTTACGGCTCGCCGACCCGGTGCTAACGGTGCTTTCGATAACCATGGTTACTTTTTTACGCAATTTATTAAACAAAAAGCGGGCAAAAAAGTTAATAACCAACCGGTACCGTTATCCGCCGAAAAGCATGCGAAAAACCGATAACGATTAAAACGCGCTTTTGTTAAGCCCGTGCTAGCTGCAAAAAGCTAAATTAACATTATTAACATGCTTACAAAATGAAAACGGTATATTTTACAACGTTTTTTTGCCGGTATAATTATTCGCTAACGTTTGGGAAAAGGTATTGCGAAAAAAAAGGTAAGCAATTTTAAAGCGATTTAAAAAGCTTGTTGCAAAAAACGACAATGGATTTTTTCCTTTACGTTTGCGGGAATTGCATTATTAAATTATAAGGTACAACGTACGTATATATCCGCCAATTCCAGCAGCTTTATATTACGATTACGGGACAATTTATGGACCGAAACGACGCAAAAAAAGTATATAAAGTATTACAAATGGCTTTTTTTTACTTTTAACATTCTTTTATCCAACCAGCGCTAACGCTTATATTGCGCCCAATATTATCGTTAAATTTTAATTTCCCGTTTTAACTTCCGGCCTTTTAATATCCACGGCAAACCAATCGTTAGCGTGGCCGAATTGCGCATTATTTTAACGTTTAATATTATTTACGATACGGGCGTTTTTTTTGGCGAACGGCAACGCATTAACTTTGCGGGTTGCTATTTAATTTAATGCTATATTAAAACCAGGCTTATTAAGCTCGTTTACAACGAAAAGCCAAAATCCAAGCTCGTAAAAAAGCTTTTCGGTTTTAAAATTATTTTTTTGCCCAGCGCCGACCGGGAAAAAGGCTAAGGAAAATGGGATAATTCGAACGAAATTGCGTTTAATAAATAATCCTTGCCGGTAAATAAGCTATTGTTCGCGAAAATCAAAAGACGCGGGCGGTTAAAAGCTTTTTATTACGAAAACATTTAGCTAATGGTCGTTCCCTATCCAATAACGGGTTGGGCAACCCCCGCAGTAGCCATTAAATTTATCCATTACAAAGGTTCGGATAACAAATTAAAACCGTAAGTTTTACGCTTTTTCGCACGCAATTTAAATAATTTTGTTATTTTAACCATTGCAAACCCATTTTTTACTTTACGCTTACCAAAAAGTTAATTTTTTATTCCGTTAGCGTTATTATCGCGCTTGCGCTGCACAATTACGTTTTTAATGCGCCGAATTTAACAAACGTTTTGCAAATACTAAGCACCAGCATTTAAAGGTTTAAGGAATGCATGATTTTGCGATGGAAGCAATTTATGCTTAAAATCCTTGTTTTCCGCCGCTTTAGCCCCAACGGAATTTTTTCCGATATTAAAGCCATGTTTTACGTTAAGTTTAAAAACGATTTGGGCCGATAAAGTTTAAAAGCGGGATTCGGAATTTGTTGGATACCGAAGTTTTTCCGCAAAAAAGCCGCAAACGCTGCGAACGGTATGCTTTATTTCGGAAAAAAACCAGCCAAAAATATAAGTAATTTAATTAAAAAACCCGTTAATTTAATTTTAAAAAATGCTTTAAACGTTGTTCGAAATTAAATAATGCGTTACAATTTTAAATTTTCGATTTTTTATAGTATTTATTTTAACGAAAAGGTTAAATTCGATTTGCAAAATACTTTTCGAAGAAAAAACGGAAAATTAATTGTATAAATTGTTCGCGCACGTTAGCATTACCCGCAACTTTCGGGCGAAACGTAAATATGGTGCTAAATAAGGTATAAGCGAATTTGCTTCCAAACCTTAAAATTGTTAAATTAAAAAAGCAGCGAACGGCGCTTAAACAAGGACAAAATCGCATTCGGGGCCGAAAGGACGAAGCAAAAATTTGCGAATTTATCAAAAAGATTAAGCGCAAACGGGTACAACGCGAAAATACAATCGTAAAAAACTATTGCAAATATTATTTTTATTATCGGCCGATTTGGAATATTGAAAAGCAAGTACGGGAAAAAGTGGAAAAAAAGTATAAAAAGCCCAAAGTGGAGCTTAACATCCCCAAATACGCACGGTTTGCCGAAATTTGGTATAACAAGCTTAACAATTGGTTTAACGACGAAATTTCGCGCTACCGCATTAAAGCTATCGATTTAATGATATTTTTTTGCAAAAAGCGAAAAACCCGTCGGCGCGACCACAAACAATAACAAAAGCAAATCGAACCCCCCATTAAGCAAAAACCGCCGGATTTTTCGCCCGAACCCGATTCGTTCCCGCTTTTAATGGATTTGTTAAATTATAGGGTCCAAATTGGGGCTTTGCAGCACGATTACAGTAATTTATAAGGTTACGTTCACAGGGGTTAGGCATGTTAAGCACTATAATATAATGCTAACAAGCTTACGTTAGTTATTGGAAATAGGTATTATTCCGGGGAAAGGGTGCCAACTTAGTGCTTTTCTTTATATACCCACCAATATCGATCCCGCGGGTTTTTACCTTTAAGGGGTTGCGGTGCCGCACGCGATTTTCCGCAATATTATTTTGTATAGGAATTGCTAAAAATCGTTTTACGGCCACCAAAGCGATTTCCGCGTTCGGCCTCCAAATTTAACTTGTATTAATTAACGTGGGGAAGTGCAGGGTAAGTGCAGGGTAAGTGCAGGGTAGCACCTTACATAACTTGTTAATTTCAACAAGATTCGAACCAATGCCCCAATTGCATTGGCAACAACCGGCTTTCGACGGAGGAACGGACATTTATATTTTTTCGTTCGATTGTTCGAAACGACCATTTCGATAACCAGCACTTTAAATTACGCAAATTCGCCCAAGGCAGCGGCTATCCCATTAGCTACAAGCATTCCAAATGTAAAAACGTAAAATTAAAAACATTAAATCACTTTCGAAACCATGTTATAATTGTTTACGGGGTTGTATTTCGACCAGCGAACCAAGCGGAAACTCGACGACGCAAAAAATCGAGCATTGCAAAATGGCTCGGGTGCAAGGACAAAGGAAGCAAAGCAATTTCGCGGGCCGGCATTGCCAGTTTGCCTTTTCCGGCCGTTGTTACAAACGGTACTTTGCTCCAGGTACGATTAGGGCGAAAAGGTTCGCAGCCAGGTTTAATTGATGCTATCGACGAAAAACTTTTTTATGGCGAGGGGAAAGGGAAAAAGGCGCGGGGCGCCGGACACGCGATGCGGAAGAAAAGATGGTGCGGCGTTTTGTTGCACGGGCTGTTCCGCGGCGCGTGCTTACGTGGATACTTGCGCTGTGCGGTGAATTGCCTTGGGCCGTTACAGCTTTTAGGGTAAGGAAGTGCCGGAGTAAGTAGTGGCCGGGTTGGGTGGGGGGACCGCAATGGCTCCTTTGTTACAAACAAGCCTCTGCTTTTAAGGTAAGGCACCTATGGAGCGGTGAGCAGTAACACGTAACTTGGGATGATAAGGGGATTTACAAAATTTAAGGTGCAGGTTTGGATGCTTGCTCCAAGGAATATTTGGAAGCTAATTTAAATTAACTAATGCTGGAGCCTTAGCCAAAGCTATTTGCAAAAGTAGGAAACCCCTCCTTTTTATACCAAAAGCCCTTTGCGCCAACCTAAGTGCTATGTCTGCTAAGTTACTAATCGCTCCTAATCGCTTAATTAGTAGTGATAAGTATTTTAGTGCCCCTTAGCACCACTGCGTTACGTGGACCTGGGGTTACGTGTTTTACCAATGGTGGGGGAGCCCAGCAGCTTATTTGCCCCCTTTTCCTTGGTCCTAACGTTTCAGCCCCTCCAAGCCTCCTGCTTAGCTTTTGGTTGTAACATCCTTCCGAAGTCCGGCTTGGGGATGTATGGGATTAACGAGCTTACTATTGGTCCGGATGAAAAAAGGAAAGGTAATAACTGTAAAAGTAAAGGAAAGGATAATAAGAAATTAAAGCATTTGGGAAATAAGTTTTATGCGGGTTTAAAGCCCCGCTGTTACCGTTTAGCGATAGCAAAGTAATTGGTAGCCTCGACGAACGAGGCGAAAAGGGGGGCTTTTGCAATAGCTTTGTTAAGGTCCAACGTAAGCAACGAAGCAGGCTGCGATATCCGTAATGTAACGGTTTAGGTACCAAGGCAGGGAGATAGGTTACGTGAAAGGAGCTTAACCATAAAACCCCACCATGTTCCTTTCCGTCATGTACAATACTTCCTTCCTCCTCACCATGGAATCTTCGTTTATAAGTGCCAATAAATTATTGTCCTCGCGACATGTTTAAGATTATCCGGCCGTAACACGTAGGTTGAATTAGCTATTAAAAGGTAAAGAAAAGAAAGGGAAAAAGTTGTGCGTTGCACGGCGACAGCGGAATTGCCCAAATAAGCACGCGTTAGCCCGTGCAACGCACCCGTGTTTCGTTCTACTCCCTTTTTATAAAGGGAGCAAAGGGACGTTGTACGACCCTCTCTTATACTTAAAATATGGAACAGCTTTTAAATATTTTGCATTGCAACTAAAAGCCTTTCCCACCGAACCCTAACGGGCTGTCCGCGAACAGTTTTATATACCCAATTGTAACGTGCTGTGCACAGGAAAGGGTTTTTGCTAGGAAATTTCAAAGGTTTAGGTTATTTAGCGGTTTAGGGAAAGCGTGCGGCCCAGTGGTGTATTTAGCAGCAAGTGCCTGCTTGCATCCAACAGGAAAACCAGAAACACAAAAACCAAAACGGTTGCTTGCCCTCCAAACCCTTTTACAGGGAATCTTGCGGGCTTGTTATGGCACGGCGTCGCCAGTGGTAGTTGATAGCCGATTGGCTGGAGATTAGATAAGGAAGGACTAACAAAATAAAGGTGCGGCTTTCGGCCACACCTTTCCTTCAACCTTTCTTCTCCTCCTTAGCTTAATATTTACATACGTTTTGCACAAGTCGAGGGCTTAAATGCCACGTCGTAACAATGCAGATTGGTTTAGTTTTGTGGCCGGTGGTTGCTGGTAATGTAGGTTCGATTCCGATTCCAAGGCTGCCCGGTGTCTCGCGATTAGGGGAGCCCCTCATGTAGTGGAGGTTTTCGAAGCATTAACCGAAAGCGAATCCCACGGCGTCCATCAAGCAATTTCCATCCCCGCTTACCAACCGCGCCTTGGTCGCGCGCACAAAGTAAACGTAATAAAACGCATTAATAAGCCAAGCTTGTTGGCCGGGTACGGACCAATTGCTTGCGGGTACTTGGAAAAAATCTTATGCTCGATATAATTATAATCGGTAAACGGTTAGCGCGCGACGGCGGGCAGCGAAATGCCGGATTTGCAAACGAAAGTTAAGGGGGTGGTGTGGAAAGGTACGCACTTTTGCCAAAATGCGTTATTTTATCGCGGAATGTTAATAAAGGAATGTTAGTAAAGCCCGGAAAATAAAGCATATTTGCCAGCAAGGAAAAGTCGAGCAGGACCGGAAGTGTTAACATACAGTATCCGTTAGCCAGTGTTTTTAAGCACTTTAACTTTAAAAATAGCAAAGTGCTAATATGGTTTGGCATTTGGGTAAGTTAATTAAAGTAATTCGATAAAACGAAGGTTATTCCAAGAAAAAAAAAGGAGGGCATGGAACGCCGCGAACGAAAGCGCTTAACTTTCGAACTTACATTTAAGGTAATAACTAGTAAGGGTAAGCTGCTTGCTTTCGTTAAAACTCCATGGTTTCTTTTTTTTTAATCCCGCTTTCGATAACATTTTTTGGTACGACTTTTCCACCCTAGCTTTTTTATGGAAATGGATTGGCTTAAAGCCGCCTTGCTGTCGAAAAATGTCGCGACGCGCCCGGGCCTTGTTTGGGGAAGGGGTTTTTTCTTTCGCTATAAACCTAACTGTTTTCTTTGGGAAAGCCTTTGGGCTAAAGTTAGGTTTTGCTTACAGTTTCGCCAAGGTAACAGCCGAAACGACCGCCGAAGAAGGGCATTATTAAGTCGGGAATATCGACGCGGAAAAAAGGTAATCGCGGGGGAAAAACGCGGGGTAAATTGAGGATCCTAAAACGAAGCCGAAGGAAAGCTTCTTTTTAACGCTTAACGGGTTAAAAAGCTAAAGGAACGTGGCCCGCGAAGAGGTAAAAAAAGGGTGCAAATGAATGAGTGAGTAAGTAAGTATATTTAACGTTAGCAAATCGGAATTTACCAATCCCTGCTTCCCAAAGGGCATATAACATGCTAGCGCTACCTAAGCTTAACATTAGGCTACATATTGCTATCGAAGCGGTTAACAAGTTTTGAACCCAAAAGCATACGGAATTTGGGCTGCATTCCGGCGCTTTTTGATAGTAAGCGGGTAATCAGCAAAAAGGCGTATATATACGCCGGGGCGTTAAAGCGCTGCTATTGGCAATAATGCGGTTGGTTGGCAAAATGCTAAAGTAAGTAATGGCCGGGTTGGGTGGAAAGGACCGCAATGGTTTTTTCCGGAGTTTGGTTTGGGGTTGTATAGGATTAACGAGCTTATTATTGGTTTGGATAAAATGAAAAGCGATAATTGTAAAAGCAGTAATAGTAAAAGAAAGGATAAAAGGAAATTAAAGCATTTGGGAAATAAATTTTGTACGGGTTTAAATTTCCGTTATTACCGCTTAGCAATAGCAAAGTAATTGGTAGCTTTAACGAACGAAACGAATAAAAGCGGCTTTTGCAATAGCTTTTTCCAATACCCGGGCTTATCGAAAGCAAAAGCGGGGTTTGCTTTAAGCCTTTTTTTTTCTTTTTTTTCGCTTTGGCCAATTTGTAAAATACCGGGTAAGAAAGGGATTTGTTTTCCCCATAACGGTACAAGTTATCGTTTTCGTATTGGAATTTTTTATAGTACTAGTTAAAATCCCCGTATTTAATGCGTACGGTTATTAACCGTTGTAATACCTTCCGGTAAAGTTGCAAAGCATTGGGTAAGCGCTATAATATTAGTGGAAAGCCAATAATTTTGTATTAATCCGGTATGTTTTTTTCGAACCAAACGTTCCGGGTATTCCGGGTTATTTTTTTAGCTAAAGCTTTAATATTAGCTATTGTTAGTTTGGTATGTTAAAGTACTGGAAAAGCCGTATTTAGCTTCGCTTCGGCGTTAGCTTTTTCGTTTCCAAGGATTTCCGTATGGCTTGGAAACTAACGAACGTGTATTTGGTGCTTATCCATAAAGCAATAAACCTTTTTAAAAGCCCTTTGCAAGCTATTAAAAGCCGTGCTTAAAAAGCCGTTGGCCGCCAAAATGTTGTTAAAGCATAAATAGTATATGCAATTAAGGAAGTTTAAAACGGCTTTGCGAAGGCCCATTCGGGCCCTTTTCGCTTTACCATCGAATACTTCGGCGGGGTGCGCCAGTTTGCCGTACCCGGACAGTTTGCGCTGGCCGGCTTGGTGTATAACCCAGCCGTAGCCAACTGCTCCGTCTTCCGCTTTGGAGCTGCCGCGCCGTGACAGAGGTCGAGGCACGGCATTAATCGGGACGAACCTAAAAAACATCCGCCGGGCTGCTTGGCTAACGCGCATGCCTTTCTTAAACACTTCCCCATGGGGCATAACTGGCATTAAGTCGACAAATGCACGGGCCCCGTTAAACATCAGCGAAACCATAGGCACAGCCTTGGTATGTGCAAGATTATACCCGGGCAGTTACCAAGCGTGCAGGTAAACGAAACCGCCAAGTTGGCGAAGGGAGCAGCAATAAGCAACACATTTAACCTGTATCTCACACCGCTTTAAAAATAATTCACGCAAATCCCCCAATGTGCCAGGTCCAAAGTAGCAGGCAGAAGCATGACGACAGCACGGGCTCAGCTGTTATCGCCGTGCGTTCCAGTTTATTTTGGGCCATCCCCATCCAAATGACACATGTAGCATTGCTGCGACCTATTTAAACCGAGCTGCCATTTACGAATCATTTTGGCGACGATTGAAAGCCCGGGAGTCTTGGCGCGTGCTTTTAGCTTTGGATTCTCCTGCCCGAATTTCCTTTTTTGGGTGTCGCAAGTTAATGCGGCCCTAAAACAAGCCACGAAATCGCTTTAAATTTTACAGTTGTGTGCAAAAAAACACAAATCCATGCACGAGCCACCACCCTTAGCACCACCCACCTACTTCAAAGGGGTCGCACTTAATCAAAATTGAAGCTATTTACATGCCGTTAATTGCAATAAACAGATAATTGGCTGGAGGTTTTATACACAGTAGCTTAATATCTGGTATACCACCCTTTGGCTTGATACAAGGCCTTAACCCTGGCCGGCATCGAATTAATTAAATTATTGATCAAGCTTTTTGGAATAAATTCCCACACTTCCTCGGCCAATTTAATAAGGACTTTAATGCTTTCTTAAGTTTTTAAAAGCTTAGCTACTTCGGGGTAGCGTTCGTAAAGCTTATTTTTTAGCCAAGGCCACAGATTTTCGATGGGGTTTATATTAAGGGAATAAGGAGCCAAAATAATAACTTTAACCCCTTTTAATTTAAAGTATTCCTGGGTAACGCGTGCCGTATAAATAGAGGCGTTATCTTGCATAAAGAGGGTATTGGAATTAAGCACAGTAAGCAAGTATTGCTTAAGTAACTCGACGTATAGCCGTGCAGTGAAGCCTCTTTTAAGTGCGTTGGGGTTTCCGTTTAAAAGCACCAAATTGGATTTTATTTTGTACCGAATCCCTGCCCAAAACATCTTTTTAATTTGTAAGGGTTTGGCTTTGGGTTGGACAAATTTTTGATCCAATTTATAGCGCTTTAAGAAAGGTATTAATAAAGCTATTCCCAATATATTTAAGGAGTTTAACTTACCTTTAGGGATAAATACAAACCTTTGGCGCCGGCCCTTCCCACGCTCGACGATAGTTTCGTTAGAGAAAAGAATGCGTTTCCAATAAGAAAGCGGCTTTTTGCGCATTTCTTAAGCCCATTTATATTTTTGTGCAATTGTTTTTTCGCTTAAAAAAGGCTTCGTAAGTGCGAGCTCGTGTTGGATGCCCCATTTAACCAAAGCCTTTGAAATTGTTAACCTGGAAATAAAAGGACAGCAGTTTCGACGCAATTGCTTTACTGTAATGAAAGGATTAACGGCAATCTTCCGTAATATATGCCGTTTATTTCGTTTTGATAGTGCTAAAGGCCGCCTTCGGCCGGGGCGCGAAACCCCAAAATTTTGAAGCTCATAGCGACGAGTTACGCCGTACACGTGCACTGGATTAACGTCCTCCTGCTTAGCGATTGCTTTGGCCGATTGGCCCGCGCGATATCTGGCGTAAATGCGCAATCGCCGGCGAGGCGATAAATGTATTCCTTTTGGTTTGTGCACTGTTGTGCGACGTTTAATGGGCATTTTTGTTAAGAGGGTTGTTTGGATTGATGGTGGTGAATCGGGAAAAAAATTGAGGGGCGGGGTAAATTTGCGTTTTTTTTGCACACAACTGTATGTTATTGGAGGCCGACCGTGGTCGCTGGTGCGTCCGTGCAGCGGTATTCCGCGTTTCGACTACGGCCTTAACCTGGGAACGAGCGAAGGGCGAGGCAATATAAATGTTTACCATTTACCCTAATGATATTCCTCCATTTTCTTTCCTTGCATTACCACCCGCAATTTCCTTTTATTCCTTTTCCTTTTATTCCTTTTCCTTTTATTCCTTTTCCTTTTATTCCTTTTCCTTTTATTCCTTTTCCTTTTATCCCTTTCCTTATTGTCCTATTTTCCTTTTGTTTGCATTCTGCTACTCATTTTGCGTTCTTCTTTTTATATCCTTCCAAAATGTATTTCGGCACTGCTACCGTCGCCAAGGTCGCCCTGACTGTCGCGCTCGCCAGCCAGGTCGCCGCTTTGCCTACCCCGCCCACCGAACTCGATGCCCGCCAACTGCCATCATCCTCCAAGCCGTGGATGATTGGATGCCTCCCGGGCTCCGGCTGCATGGCCAGGGCCAAGGCAGGCCCCCTCGAAATTCCTAAGGTGCCTTCCCGGGGCGGTACCCCGCTTCGCAATATTGCGCACTAGGATGCCGAGCTCCACGCTCGCCGTGCCTGAGCGTCCCTTTAAGAATGGGATGTTTTGCGTGGCCGGCCGGCAGTGCAAGCGCGGCGTGGCCGCTGACAAGGAGGCCGACGAGGCTGCCATTAAGGAAAAGGCTGCGTAGGAGGATAAATCGAACGTCGCTTGCAGGTTCACACCCAACAGCTTGCTGAGGTGGGCCAGCATGAGGAGTTGGGTTTGGGATATGGCGCTTCGAAATTTATGGCCCGGGCATATATTGGTTTTGTGGAAGGAGTTGCTGTTAGAAAACACTGTTTTTAATCATTAATAAATGGGAAAAATGCATTGTCCTTCTTCCTTTTTTTGTCCTTCGAAAAGGATGATTGTTTTTGTTGATATACATAAAGTATGTGGTTTGTGCACCGGGGTACCCATGTTTATGCTCCACCTGGAATTTTTTAAATCCTTCCACATCGTACCATCGAGTACCTTCGTATTTAACAATTGCAGAAATTTTTATTAAGGGGTTTTTTGGTAGCACAATGCACGTTTCTTTGTTAACCCGTGGTTTTAAAACGAAAGGGTATAATGCGATGCGAAGGCAAATTGTTCGAATAACACCGTCCCAGTAGTGCGAAAGTATGTGGCGGGTGCGTATTGTGCAAGGTCGTTCGCGGTTTTATGCGCTTAATATCCGGAGCCACTTTTTGCATAAAGGTGCTGACTGCTTTTTATATAACGTGGTAAAGAGGTGCCAGGTGCTTTTTATATACGTAACGAGGCGCGTTGAGGTCCGGTTACCGATGTGTGGTGCAGCAAAGTTGAAACACGTGGATGCTACGACCGAGACCGCAACAGGTGGCCTGGAGGGCGGGCGGCTGGAGTGGCGCCCCTGGGAGGAAGCAACCCCGCACCACAAGGTTACGTGAGAAGTTAGTAAGCAAGGTGACCTGTTGATCTGCCTAAGATCAACAGATTAGAAGGGTCCAAGGCGTGCTCGGGCACCGACCAAGCATCCTTCACACGGCAGGAAGAAAAGGTATAAAAACGTTAGGGAAGCCTCCAGTGTAAATAGCCTTTAACAGATGCCCGGCATTAGTTAACTTAAGTTAGCTTTTAAGTAACCCTTAGAGCAAGCAATTACGATCACTGCACCAAAGTGCCAGACCTAGACAAAGACGCCATCGTGCACTGTTTACCAAGCCTTTCCTTAAGTGCTTTACCTTAGGAGCAAAGACCCGATTGTAACAGGGGGTTTCCTTTGTTACGGCCATGGTCGAGAACTAGGACACAGTTAATTGGCGCTACGAACGAAGATTTTAATTTGAGGAAGAAAGGAAAAAGAGAGGGGATTCCGGTGTTCGGCGCGTGTTCGACGCGTTTTAATAATGAACCATTGTGTGGGTCCTGGTCTGCGGGTCAAGGCTTGTAAGCATTAACTCAAATCGTTACACTTGTTTATTATAGGTGAAAACAGCCAACTTTGTTTTCTTTTATACCCACCGACATTAATTCCGTGTGTTTTCCTCCCACGGGGCTTTTGGTGCCACGCGCGATTTTTCGAAAAATTATTTAATATAAGGAAAATAAAAAAATCGACCCACGGTTACCAAACCTATTTCCGCGTTAAGCTTTTAAATTTAACTTAACTTTCCCCCGAAATTGTTTTTATCGAACCCATTGTTAATGGTTGTTAAAAAAACCCAACCATTTTGGTATTAGGGCTACCAAAAATGAGCCGGCTGCATAACAAAGTTTAACAAATCATTTGGCTTTGTTTAACCCGCGTTTTCCAACTTTTTTATCGCTTTTGCCTCGCCGTACGAACCGAACCGAAACGATTCGAACGTATAAAAAAATTGCTGGCCGGTAAATAGTATAATACTTTGGACGAATAACCGGCCCGGCTTCCGCCGTCCCCCACTACACACGCGACCCTCTTCGGTTGCAGCTTTACACGCAACCTTTTTCGGTTGCAGCTTTACGCGACTCCTTTTTAGTTAACCGCACCCAACGATACGTACGGCGCAAGATTGGCCTGCCCAGCACGCATTGCTTGCTAAGTACGCACGCGCAAAATTTGCTTAATTGTACGCGCTTTTGTTTGTTGTTACGCCGGGTTATACTAAAGTATAAGTGGCATTGCACGCGTAAAATCCTGCCGCGGCTTTGTTTGTGTTAAATACGAAGGTATTTAATGGTATTGTATGGAAGGATTTAAATTTTTTTAAATAAAGTATAAATTTGGGCATTACCGGTGTATTAACCATATATTTTGTATATATTACCGAAAACGAATATTTTTTTCGAAAACGAAAGGATAAAAAAAAAAAAGCATTTTTCCCATTTATTAATAATTAAAAACAGTGTTTTTTAACAGTTTACCAATATGGCTTAAACGGTGCCGCTTAACACCACGTTGCAAACCGCGCAGCTTATCGTTCGATACGCAAAAACACACAAAGAACACACCGGGTTGGAATTAAACCTTCCAGCCCCCGATTTATTTCTTTAGCCGGGCCCAAAAGGGGTTCCGAGGACCCCCCCCCCCCCCTCCCCCGCTTTCACCCAGCCTTACTACTTTTTCCCGGCACTTTGCCGGCCGACTGCTTTCTTTACCACTAACAGCTGCGCTTACAGCGCCCCGGCGTTTACTCGCCTTACAGCTAATCGCCCGCTTACTATTAAAAAGCGCCGGAATACGGCCCGACCTCCGTATGCCTTCGGGTTTAACTTTGTTAACCGCCGGATAGCAACATGTAGCTTAATATTTAGCTTAAGTAACGCTAGCACGTTATATGCCATTTGGGAAGCAGGGATTGGTACATCCCGATTTACCAACGTTAAATATACTCCTTTTCCTTTTCCTTTTTCGCAAAAACCCGCCTCGGTTTAAACCGGGCAAATTTAAATCGCAAAGCAAAGCAATATGTGCCAAAAACTTCGCAGCCAATTTAAGCATTAACGTTTCCGAATAAGTCGCTGCATAATAATAATTTTTTATAATTTAAAAAAAAAATGGCTATTGGTTAACGAGCATATAACAAGCAGCGCAACATAGCTATAGCGCTGCTAATGGGCGTTAAAGCAACCCGCGATGCTGGAATGGCCAATACTTACGGCAGCTTTGTTAGGGTTTAGTAATTTACAGCAATTTCCGCTTTTTCGCCCCGCTATCCGGGAATTGGAGTTCCTAATTTGTGTTACGCGGGAACATTTTTGTGCTTAATGGTTCGTGCGTATTTATAAGGGATAAATGCATTTAATTGGCTTAAATTGGTTGCGATAAGGAATACCGGCTTTTTATTGGCTAAATTAAAGCCGGCCATTAAAGAAGTAAAAGGTTTGCAATGGGACCTTTGGCGGCAGAGGAAGTTAAACTAAACGCGGGCTTTCCAAGCAACGCCAAAATTATTGCCTGCGTTTAACGCCATGTTTGTGTTTGTACCCGTGAGTACCTTTGTTATTAATTGCGTCGGCCGTACATGCTGGGCGCCAGTCCCGTTGAGCATGGCGAGGGCGCGGCGTTCGAGTAGGCGTGACGTATTAAACGGGGGTGTAAGGTAACTGGCTGGTGCTGAATCGACGGCTTCGGCGAGCTAGGATTCCCGTGTCGCAGGCTGGAAGCCTGGGGATCCAAACTGATACATAAAGGCGAGCGTGGATGATGGCGGGGCGCTGCAACTGCTTGCGATAGCGCAGCTTCACCTACGAATCATTAACCCCCACCATGCGGCTTCCGTTTCGCAGCCAGGGCAATAAACGGCGTTAAAGGTGAAATTTAGCAGGAATTTAGCTCGCAGTCGCAAGTTTGAGCCGGCAGCCGTCGCTCCTAACGGACCGTGGCCCAGCACCGTTCTATCCGCAAGTTGTAAAGAATTGTTGAATAGCAAATTTACGATACACGAACTCTGCCATTGCCCACCGAAATAGTTAACCGAAAATGCCCGGCGCTTTTACCTATGCCGGTGTGGACGGCCGACATGCCCCTGGCGTTTGTAGTGTTTGGTGTCCGTAATGTCCTTACCGCGGCCAAACCTTCTCGATGGCGACTAGCAGACGATTGGGTCTTTGCGCCTTGTCCACCCAACAAGTTAAGGCGATTCTCGAGTTTGGCCGAAGCCGCGACTATGGGAGGCGGAGCATTTTCGACGGCTAAGTCGGAAGCAACCACAAGCGCCATGGTTCCTTGCATGGAAGTGTTGTCGGTCGGCGTGTCCATAATCGGGACGCGGCAAATCCTACGATAACCCAAATGCGCGGCCGTAAAGCGCGGGTCGAGTAAAGATGCTACCTGGGCTTTAGTGGAGCCGTGGATCGCGGCCCGCTCCGTGGCGAGAAAGAGAGAGAGAGAGAAAGTATATTTAACGTCATCTAGTCGGGACTTACCAGTCCCTGCTTTTTAAGGGGCATATAACGTGCTAGCGCTATTTAAGCTTAACATTAAGCTATATATTGCTATCGAAGCAGTTAATAAAACAAATTAAAGGGCAAGCTTAAAGCATACAAAGTTCGGGCCGCATTCCGGCGCTTTTTATTAGTAAGCGGGCAATTAGTAAAAAAGGCGAATGTTGCTGGGGCGTTATAAGCGTATTTATTGTTAATAAAAAAAGCAATTGGCTAGCAATATACCGGAATAAAGTAAAGGCCGGGCGAAAAGTTGCAATGTTTTTTTATTTAAATTTGGTTAAAAACAGAAAAGTTAAAAGCTAAAAGGTTTAATTCCAACTTGGTATGCTTTTTATATATTGCGTATCGAACGATAAATTGCGCGGTTTGTTAACGTAATGCGGGTTCCAAAAACCGTTACAATTACGTTAGCAAAACAAAGCCGCGCAAAGATTTTGCGCGTATAATGCCATTTATACTTTAATATAACCCGGCGTAACAATAAATAAAAGCGCGTGCGGTTAAGCAAATTTTGCGCGTGCGTATTTAGCAAGCAATGCGTATTGAGCAAGCCAATTTTGCGCCGTGCGTATCGTTGGGGCGGTCGATTGAAAAAGAGTTTATAAAGCTGCAACCGATGAAAAGTCGCAAGGATAACGGGGGACGGCGGCGGCCGGGCCGGTTATTCGTTTAATGCGTTTTAACTGCTTGCCGGCTTGCAATCTTTTTGTACGTTTATCGTTTCGTTACGTATCGTGTACCCGCGAAGCAAAAGCGAAAGGAAATTTAAAAGCGGTTTGGTAATGCGCGGATGTTGGAGCATTTAATTATCGAGATTTTGGCGCGCGCTTCGCGCGCGCTTTAAGCAATAAGGTACAAGCCTTTTCTTTAATTGGCAATAAGCACCGCTATACCTTTGCCAGCCATTTTTTGCTTTTTTGGCCCAGTTGCGTTGCCGACGTCGTTGTTAAAAGGAATTGGAAAACGCGAGCAAAACAAGTTAAATGGCTTGTTAATGTTTTAATAATGCTTTAACCATTTTTTTAATGGGCTATATACCAAAACTGGCCGTATTTTTTAGCGGCCATTAACAGTAAGTCCAATAAAAAAAAAATTCGGGGGGAAGGTGCCCGCTCCGTGGCGTTAACGGGTCGGGGTTAGTTTTCTTCCTACGGTTCCTTACTGTAACCGCCCGCCAAGAATTGCAGCTTGGCGGCGGGTCGACGATTTGGCAGCAATGCCCCGCCGTCGAATCCAGCCGCATCTGCCGTTACCACAACAGCGTCGGGGAGTTTAACAAGCTTACCAGTTTAATATATAATCCCGTAAAGGGTTTAAATTACGCTTTGTCCAGTTGGGTGGCATCACGACGAGCCCGTAAGCCCTCAAGTCCCAGTGATTGCTACAACTAATAATAAAGTGGGAATAAAGGACTAACTTTACCTTTTATGGGGGTACCAAGTTACATAAACTAAGAGAGGGAAAGGAACCAGCTTGGAGAGAGGGGATGGCGAAATGCCATACCCAAGTTTCCGGAGCCGGACCATATGCATCAAATTATACCTGGCACAGCCTCTTTTAAACGGAGGCGGTGGGCCACCCGGCGGAAAGGAAATAGCCTTGGCCTTCCCGCTCTACTCCGCTTCAGGCAAGTTCGTCGGCTCTATCCACCCGGACAACAGCATAGCGCTTTGAAAGGGTGCTGTTGCACCGCCAAGAGCCGCAGTCGATCTGGTTGTTATGTCTTTGTCCCAAAAGGCCATGGGTGGTTCTGCCCTCCCGCAGGATATCTCGTCGGCGGACGAAGGCAAGCTCCTCTGGGTGCTACATGTGGAGTTGGATGGTGTCCATGCCCAGAGACGTAGTATTGGGCAGGTTTTTACGTCGGCGTGTCTGATACCGGTGAGTCTGGGCCAGTGGTGCGGTGGGTAACGCATCGTCAAAAAGTGCGAAGATTAATGCCTTTAGAAGGTTGGCTGCTATTTTGTCAAGTAATTCTAACTCGGGCATGTTATAAACACGCTACGTAAACCTTGCGTTGCAGATTTGGGCGACGATGGCAGCTTTGATAAGCTGCCCTTGATCCGAGTTTTCGACCCATGGTGAGTCCACATTTAGCCTCGGGACGTTACCCAGCATCCTGGCCTCTTCCGCAGCGAGCCCGGCCTCGTACGTCTCACTTGATCCATCGTCACTGCCTGACAAATGTGCGGCCGTGCGACCCGGGGGCCCGAAGAAAAAGACAGATGTGCAGCCGTTAAGCCCACTGTGGCGAGCTCCTCATTGAAAGCCACCGACTGAAAGTGGCCCATGCCGACCTGGACATTCCATTCCACAAGCAGCGGTTCTCCCTTCAATTTTGGCTTCGTCGTGTCCGTGGTCGAGGCCGAAGGGCAAATCGATTCGCTTGGAACATGCGAGTGACGGCTCGAACTATGACTCTCGCTGCCCTCCGAGTCTTTCGCCTCGTCCCCCATTCCCAGATATCTGCAGACCCAGTTGAGCGCTCGGATACCGGCATCGAAGGCGCCCAGAGCGATATGGCAGTTCCCTCGGCAGGTGCATACACGAGCGCTTAGGCTTCGCTGAGGTAGTGTCGTGTCTATCGTCTTTTGCCGACTTCTCCGGTACAGAATATTATCCCCGTCTATTACCCATGGGGTGGATTCGGCCTATGTAACGACGCCTCTACACCCCGAAGTCTTCCTGGTTGTTTCTGGAGCAAAAAACAAAGTGTACACGAAACGCATCTCGTTCCTAGCTGACAAGCATCTGGTCTCTGCGTCCGCATTGGCTTTCGTATTGTATGGCACCACTAAACGGTAGTGATCTTGCGCGGGGGGCTCGTACTGGCTCCAAGACGCCGACGAACGCGCAGCGACAGCGGCTCTAGCCTGTGGGGCGCTCCAAACTTGGGGTCAACCAGCTCCCTTGACCCACGTCAACATCCGGTTATAGCGTCCCTGCGACGTTCCAGGTGCCGAAACAGTGGACAGGGGCTGTTTCACAATTTGGTCGAGCTTCCCCGTTTGAGGGCTGTTAATAGGGTTCCTTTTGGCCTCGTCTAGGCTTCGGTTTTGCTCTCTTCATCATCAGCATCATCACCAACATGGCGTGCCACCAATCTCACAACATTCCGTGGTCCACGCTCGCCTCCCACTTTCGATATTCGCCATGCATTCGCTATTACGACGGCCGGGCCGACCTGGTCCCTAAGTTCAAGGAAAGCCAGGGCAAAGAGATTCACTATTTCCTTGGCGCCCTCGCTAAGACCATTGCAGCGCACGCTGTCGATGAGCTTGCCCGCCACCCCGAGAGGGTCGAGCCGTTGCAACCAGAAGCCACAATCCTGAGCAGCAATGTGGTCAAGCGTATCACGCCTTCCCTTCTCCATATCACCAAGGATTTGACGATACACGGATATTCGGCTTCTGCTCCCGAGGAGCTTGGACGCCTGCATTCCAAGCTTACCAAAACCAATGCCTACCTCCACGCACGAGCACACTCTCCCTGGAACGCGTGGGACGGGCCGGAAGCCTTCGCCAGCATCGAGATCTTCAAACTGCTCATTATCTACGGCGAGATGGATACGCTGCAGCACATTTGTCAGCACCCACAGGCCGCCTGGACTGAGTGCTGGGATAGGCACCGCGATTCGTTCGGCGACCAGAACACGTGCGGCTGGGCCTTCGTGCCGCGCCTCGCGCTCAAGGCCTACCTCGGCCTGAACCTGATCCTCTGCTTCCCCGCGCTGTGGGACAACGGTAGCGGCCGGTCGGGCGAATCGGATTACCGCAGAACCGCTTGCTACCAGCGCACGGTCCGCGACTGCACAAAGGCTGAGCTCTCGCATAACATCGCCGCCCTCCCGCACCGCCAGTTTTTCGGCGTCCCGGAGAAGCAGTTCGGGTGGTATGCCATATCCCGCCAGGACAGGAAGCACGCGTACCTTTTCGACAAAGACGTTGTTAAAGGCGGCTATCCGTACGGTGTGCTGCCTTATATGGACTTTCTTGGGCTCGAAACCGAGGTGGTGCACATGCCCAGCGTTTCGGACGTCATGCATGTCCGCTGGTGCCTGTGCAGCCTGGCCCTGCCGACGGAGCTGGTGACGGAAATTATGGACCTGGCAGGGTACCGGCCGGCGAGGCGGCTCCAGGTCCCCCACGATCCGCTGCACCCGGCCAACCGGAAGGAGCTACGTCGGTACCTCAACTTTTGCTTCAGGATACTGGTCCGGTGCGATGTCATGAGCAGGTGGCTCGACGGCGAGATACCCTGGGACAGGCTTGCGGCGGAGGCACTGGTCGACCTGCTGGGCGACGGCGAGAGCCGACACACCGCCAAGCACGGGAGGCGCTTCTTCGAAAGGACGTACCCGGTTCCGGAGAGGGAAGGCTTCACAACGCTGGATGTCCATGACATTACCTTCTTGTAGGAGCATGATATAGGCATGGTGCACTAGGTAGCGATTCGCGCCTCCTAGAGGGATCGCGACGTACAAGCTCCGTGTTCTACCTCCGGCTTATTTGGAGAAAGCTCAGCCTAACGCGGGCGGCAACCGAGGCAAGAACTTTCCGGGATTAGGAGGTCCCCAAGGTAGTCGCTGATAAATCGACGAAACAACAAGTACCGAAAGGAAAGAACGCGCGAATCCTTGGGTAGCGGGAAGACGGGACTGCCGGGTTGTCGCCCCCTCCGCGAGATTTTCAGTAGTTTTGTACCAGAGCCGGTTATTACCGCTTGGGAAAGGGCGAGAACACCCTCCCACTCCCCAAGGAAAAACAAGCATGAACCAATGCATTCTTTTCGGCAGCAATGCTCATCGGGCTGACGACTGCCCCGCCTCCTCCTCCTCCTTCCATTTAAGACGATCCCAGCGGGGGCTTGAGGGGCTCGTCCGTGTCGCAGAGCACGTAGACACTCCTGAAGCTGCAGAGCCTCACGGTCTTGCAGAGGTCCGACGTGATGTACTGAGAGATGGGCTCAATCCAGTTCGAGGTCGGGTAGCACTGGGGGGAAGGACAAAGGGAAGAAATTCGTCAGTTCGAAAGATTGATTGGGAGCCTCAGCGGAAAGGCGTGCTGTTAAACACCAACTGTAGCGCACCCACCCGCTAGAAAATAGCGAGCCAATCGCATCAACACACCTAAACCACCACCAACCCGGCCCATTTAATGGCAACTATTGCAACTAACCACAATCGAACATTGGTTACAAACGGTGTCCTCCCCATCCTCGATGCTCAACCGCCGGAGAATTTTCTGCCGAAATAATCAAATTTCCTGAAAGATTGAATTCTGGCGCTATGTGTCCACATGTCGGTATTTCCTAACAGCCCGTTAACCCTGTGTTCCCCGCTGTCTTGGGGCTAAGCTACGGTGGGGTATAACGCAAACTGGGACAAAATTCATTTTTCGCTATTAGGCTTACGCCCATATAGGGTAGGGGGTGCATTCGATCCGTTGCTTAAAGCAACTAATTCGCCGCGTTTAAAAACAATGGTTACTTTTTTTGCCAATACGTTTTCGTACAACCGCTTTTAACTTCGTACATCCCTTTTTTACTTGCACTTATTCACGATTTGCCCAAAATACCCGTTGCTACAATGTTACGGTATAAGCCCAAAATATACGACCTTTTGTTAAAAAAACGCTAACGCTACGAAAATGTTTTTAATGCTATAGCAATTTTCGCCAAAAGCTAACCGTTTAAAACATTATTATTTACTTTTTTTTCCCATATAAAACGCAATTTTTAAGCTTTATCCCGTACAACCTTTGCTTTGCTAATGCCGGTTAAATCCAAATATAACATAACGGAATTAATTATAGTTTTAATTAATAAAAGGACGAAAAGTATTGCATTTACCTAACGAAACTTTAAGCTTTTTATTATTAATATTGGTTTAACTTTTTATTACGGCCAATATTATTTTAAGCTTAATAATAACTTTATTTTAGTTAATATACCATATAACGTTAATATTACCTAGGTTAAAGCTTTTGGTACGGCCCGATACAATTACTAGCAAAGGTTTGCGGATATAAAAGCATTAATTTGCTTTTTGGTTTAAAAAATAAATTTAAAAAACAAGCTTAAACGGTTGCTTTGAAAAGTAATTATTTTCGTAAAAACGGGTACGGATGCAAAAAAAAGCATTGTTAAATTGGTACAAACGTTAAAAAGCAAAATTACGTTTGCATTGCTTTTTTAAATGGTTACGGGGAAAAGTAAATAAAAAAAATGGGTTTGTATTTGTTGGTACAATTGTACGAAAATTAATAAGCATATATAAAAAACCCTAAGGTTAAATATAATTTATCCTTTTTTGCTAGCTCCGAAATCCCCGTTCCCCTTTTTAAGCATGCCGCATACGCTTTTAATAACGGTAATTTTGTAACATTTATTTTTAAAGCCAAAAAAAAGGGTAAATAAATAACGGCAATTAAAAAAAACCAATTTTTGCCCGTTAACGGCTTACAAATGCTATTAAATCCAAATAATAACGCACATTTCCGTTTGCTTTCCAATTTGCCCATTTACCGCCGATTTCCGATATAACAATTAATTTATTTCCGTTGCTATTGTTATCCACGTATATAGTAATAATTGCATAACAAAACGGACAAAAAATAAAAAAAAACATAACCGAAAAAATAAGGATATTAACCGAAAAAAGCCAAGCGTTAACGTTTAAATTGGATGCGTAAACCGGCATTTTCGATAAAGGAAATAATAATTTTAATTATAAAAATGCGTTAAAATACGTGCTTATATAACCTTTAACGAAATATATTATATATGCTAACCAATGTACAAATGTAACTTTTATTTTTAACCGCAAAGTTAAAAACAAATTACCGTTATTTACAATGGGTTTGGGTAAAAGCAAACGTGGTTATTTAAATATAATTTCCAAAAGCATTTCCAAGCGTTAAAAAAAACGGATAATTAATTAGCTAAATATTTCCCGTACACCAATGTATAATTATTTACAACCTTTTTTAATTTAATTTTTAAATTTTTCGTTTTTTTATTTATTGGTTTTTTTGGTAAAAAAGCAAACGCATGCTTAACTTGTTAAACGTTTTGCATACGCAATTTTAACCAACGTACAAAAGCAATAGCTATTTCGTATTTTAATATAAAATAATTAAATATAGCTAATTTGGGCGTAACATTGGTTGCTTCGTATAAACGAAAAGCATTTCGAAATCCAAAATAACAATTAAAAAAAGGACGGTTTCGTTTGCTATCGTTTTTTTACGTAAAAAAAAGCTTAACGTTCTTATTAATTAATTGCATAAAGCAAAAATAGGATTAAAAAAATACGCATCCAAATTAATCGCTTTTTAAGCAAATAACTTTTTAATATATGCCAAAAATGCCGGATTAACCAGCACTTTCCAATTTTTAACCTTTGTTTTAAATAAGTGGTATAATTAGTAAAAACGGCCGAAAACGATATGGGTTTGTTAACGTTGCGTGCAAATACGGTAATTATTTTACAATTAAATAAACGCCGCAAATTCGTTACGAATAACAAGCATAAATAAATATAGCAAAGCAATTTTATTAATAAAGTTATTTGCGTACTAAATGCTTTTGGCTTCGAATTTGCCAAAAAAAATTTAAAATAATTAATTTCGTATAAAATTGTATAAGGAAAAAAATACGTACAATCCAACGCGCATTAACAAAAAGACAAAATCGATTCCACCACGATTCGAATTTTACGTTGTAAATATTTTTGCTAAATACAAAACATTTTTTAATAAGCAATACGGCAAAAAAATTTGCTTATGCTTAAAGTTATTTAGCAATGGGTTTATAAGCAAGCAAAGGGTTAAACGCGGGGTTAAACGCGGGGTTAAAAGCGATCGGGTTCGAATTGCGGGCGTTTTAAAGCGTAAACGGGCAATTAAAAGCGTTTAGCTTTATTAACCGGATTTTCTAAATGTTTTTGCGCAAAGCCGCTTTCGTAAAAAAGTAATAAATTGCGCACAAAAGCTTTATTTTTACATTTTAATTTGTTTAAATAATAAACGGAATAAACCCGTACTGTTTAATAAAAGCAAAATATTGTGCAATAACGTTACAAACCGTTTGGGCGGAATTTCCGGCGTAAAACCAAATAATAAAACGGAAATAAGCATTAATGCTAGCGTAAATTTCGAACTTAAATTGTTAAAGCTTTATATATTTATTTACGAACCAAATCCAATTAAAACCAGGTATTGTATAGCTATTACGGTAACGGTATCCGTATTGTTATTATTTATTCGCCTTTTTTTTGTAATATTGCAGGTATATTTTCCACGCAATTATTTTTTTTATACAAAAACGCTATTGCCGTAAATGGGTGTATAGAAATTTACGATTTAAATTTTGCACGATATTATTAATATGCCGTTCGTAAGCAAAATATTTGTTAAATTTTTGCCGTATACGTGCTTGTTTATCCGTTAATAAATAACAATAAATATTGTAAAACTTTCGAAATTGTTTTAACCCGTGTAAAGAAATGTTAAAAATTTGCGTAAATAGTTTGTTAAGCATTTGTTCGTTTAAAAAAAATTGGTTAAAGTAAAACTTTTAAATAAAAGGAAAAAAATTAACGGTAATTTCCGTACAAATTTGGTTGGGAAAAATGTTTTATTAACGAAAGCAACGGTTTAAAGTGCGGATAATAATACCAATACCATGTATTGTATTAAACCAAAATTTAATATATTTAAACGTTTGCCTTTTTTAATAAAAAAAAACGATATTATTTTGGAAAGGTTCGAAAGCAATTAAAAAACGAAGCATTGTAATGTAAAACGGAAAAAGTAAATAAATAATACGGTAATTAAATATTAAATTAAAAATTTGGAATTGTACGGAAAAAATATTATTAATTTTATACAGGGCTAATGGATTGTTGGTTATACATAAGCATGCAAATTTAATTATATAATACAACGAAAACGAATACGTATTTTTTTCGTATGCTTTCGTATAACTTTGTAAAAGGAAATTAACGCTTAACCGTTTATAAACGCTTTGTAATTTGTAATATTATCCCGTTATATTACGTAAAGCTTTATACGCTTTTAATTAATTTTAATTTAGGCCTCGTGGTGCAGTGGCTCTGCACCAGGCCGGTCCCGCCAGGACCACGGGTTCGAATCCCGTCGAAACCACAAAGGACATTTTGTTCCTTAACCGCCCGCCCTGCTGGGCCGGAAAGAAAAAGGGGCCGTTACGCCAACGGGCCTCGCCCGAATTGATTTTTACCCACGCACAAAAACCAACGATCCCGATAATTGATCCGATTCCGACCCCTCCAACCCCGACCCTTCCCAACCCCTCCTGGCACCATTTCGAAAGCCCAAGATGCAGAAGGTTAGGCCAAAAAGGAGGCAACGGGAGGGCTTTTGGAAGGGCCTAACCTTACCCCGACGAATGCACGCACAAAACCGACGAATTCGATTACCATCCCTTTCTCTTTCAGATATTAGCCACAAGCCCTAACCCCCCTTGCAGCCCTAGCCCTAACCCCAACCTTACCGCCCCAAGTAGCCCAAGACGCTGAAGGCCAGGCCAACAGGACGGTAACGGGAAGGAAAAGGGCCGGGTGCTAAAGGGGCCAGGTTAGGTGCGTGGGAGGGCCCCCCAAGCGCCCTGGACAAGCTTGGGCAAAAAAACCGGCAAAGGACCCCCTTAACCGAAGTGGACCCGATTCGTGGCCCCCCCAGCAAAAGGGCCAGCCTGGCAAATCGAATAACGAACCAACCAACCAACCACAAGCAAGCAGGACGCGGCCTTATCGGCCCTTTGCAAAGGGGGCTGCACGCGGAAGGACGGTTAATTCCCGAGTGGAGCCCTTACAAGCAGTCGAGCGTGGAAAAAAGTAGGCGTTAGCCAAAGCGGTTCAATACCGCCACGGAAGCGCACCGCTAAAGAGGCGGAAATGCAGGCATAAGGTTTTTCCTCCTTAGGCCCAACCCAAAGGTTTTCCCCTATTTGCATATACTTAGCCGCAGCACTAAAGTTTCTTCCATAAACATAACAGCGTATAAATACAACAATTAATTTTAATTTAATTATTATTTTTATCGTTACCTTTTTGCTTTTTGCGCTACATAATTTTTTTATTTAAGCGCTTTGTTAAGGGTTAATCGGTGCAAAAGCGGGTGGTTACCAAGTTACGGGCCGAATGCGGTGTTTCCTTTGTTAAGCCTCCGTAAATCTCTTACCAAAAGTATTATTTCCAATAAAAATTGTTTTTTTTAACCTTCCTTTCCCTCGTGCCCTTTCGGGCACGCAAAATTGGTTTTATAAATCTTTTGCGCTTTATGCGCTTTCGTGCAATTTAAGCTTTATTTTATTTTTTTAACTTTGCCGTTATGCTTTGGCCGCGATACCGGTAATTCGCCGGTATATTTCCGGAA